TGTTGATATTGGAATTTGTTGAAGTTCATGAGTCTTCATTAGTTCTTTTATTTTGATCATTGTTGAGTTTGCAGTTTGTGTCGGTTGTGGGGTGGTGATGAGATACTTTTTGATTTTTTATATTGTTGAGATTATGTTTATTAATTCTTCATACTAATAAAAAAATAATGAAAAATCAACAAACTTTCCTCATATTTTCTTCAGGGTGGGGGGGGAGGGGGTGGAGAAAAATCGCGCAAAAAAAATTATTCTCTAATATTTAGAAAAAAACTCATTTTCTTTTTTCTTTCAAAGTTGGCTTTTTCTTCAATGGGGGGGGCGAAGCCCCCCTGGACACCCCCCCCGCTCTAGGAATTGAGGTTGTTGAGGGATGTAACAATGCAGTAACAAATGTAATTCAGAATATAAATTACAGTTTAATCAAGACGTTTAGAATATATATACAAAAGAGAAAGAATAATCAAAGTGATCTGATCGGAGGTCAGTGTTAGACTCTACTAACTATCTTAAACCGCGTAAGACGGGAATTTGGATACGCATGACAATAGGTGCGAGCGAGAGGTATTTTATACTGGGCGCGTGACAGAGCGCGATGATGTCACCGATGTCCAGTCGTCTCTCAGCGTTGTCGTATCCGTGCGTGTGTTACGCGTTGGTGTTTGTGTAGCGAGACGCTACACCCCCGCCCCACACGTACCCACTCACCACCCCCACAGACGCACTGATGACATAAAATACATTACACATTCGATCGATTTGTTGTTATTGGTTATACCAATTTGTACATTGATTTCATGAGGAGTCTCATNTGTCGCGTAAACCACTAGTTACCATATAGAGCCCCTATGACTACCGTTATTCCACTAGATTATACCATTGAGATTCAAATATTTTTTTCTGATAATTTTATAAGTCCAATATTATTTTTAAGCTAGTTGAAATATTCCCACGGTTTTGGAAACAAGAAAATATAGAATTTTGGAAAGCAAGTTCGAGAAACTCGTAAACAGGAAACGAATAATAAATCTAAAGAGTCTCTCGACGTAGCTCTGGCCATCGAAAAATAAAAGATCTTTTGTATTGTTTTTTTTTATATAGAGTTTTCGAGTGCAATTCTAGCTTGACATTAAATCNTTGTTCTCAGTCTTCTTAGTGACCCCAATGTGAAATATAAAATCAGACGTGATAATTCTATCACCTTCGACACACGCTCGTTTATTTTCCGCTTTGGACACATCCCCAACATAGTTAAATATATCCTCCAGATTTAATTCCAATAANGGATTCAAAGCCACGATTGGTCCCCTACTCTTTTCTGTGGGATGAGCCCTTCGTCTTCGACACTTAGACTAATTTTAGTAAGAGTAAGGGCAGATCCACCCCATACGTCGATACGAGAAGTTCGAGAGAAATTGTTATCGTCTTCTCAAGTTTTAAAAACCCAAAGTGTTGTTGTAAAATATCTTCCAAGTTTTGAAAAGTAAATATAAACGTTTCGATTGGATTATCTAATTAAATTGGTGTTCGTGTTCAATTATTTTTATTCGAAAATTCCCGCACTTGTGGAGCAGAGTGCTTTAGCGCTCCACGGGCATTGGACCTGCCATCTGTTCAACGGAGAACCAGCTTGGAACGTAACACTCAGTAACCCCTAGCGACATCTTGCGGTACNCTTGAATCGGTATATTTTAGGTCCGCCATTTTTGTGTTCATCAGCGCCATCTGACGCTCATTTAACATCGCGAATTGGGACCGCTAATTACCGATGGCGGCGCTCGTTTTCACCAATATGGACTAAGGTATGATAGAGACAGGTATGATGAAGCGAGGAAACAGGGGACAAGTTCGCCCGAGCGCCAGAGCGTGGCGTTCCGGTCGATTTATACTTCCCCTCATTTCCTTGAGTCTCCCACCACTAGCTATGATTTTACTGGAGGGAACGTTATGAAATTTATATTTTAAGTCAAAATAATTAGTCCCGTATGAAATTTATATGTACAATGCGAAGAAAAATTAAAAAATGAAAATATATTCATGGTTTTTCATGTACTATTTCCTTAATAGTCAATGCCCCGCTCACTCTTTCATTAATGGGGTGATTTTTATCTTATATGTGAATTCTTTCTTTTTTTACTGAAAATAATTACGAAGATTGAGAGTGAAATCACTGCTCAGTGTAATAGCATTAAAAATAAAATGAAAATGCATTTTTATCCAATGTTGAACAATATTTATTTTTCGCGCGAAAATATCTCGCGAATGTTGTTTGTTTATGTCTGCTCCAAAACGTACTCCAATAGATCTGAACACATGACTCTCAGTCAATCTTTATCGCTCGACCCATGGAACTATTTGCTGAGAATCATATACTGTTTTCATCTCAACATTTTTTAATCCTGTTCCTCTCGATTGAACACAATTTTATTTTCATCATGCTGTATCGGAAAAGTAACTTTGCGACATATTGTGATGAAAAATTTTGTTCGTAACTCGTGAAAAAAGTGGTTTTTGGCGAGTGGGAGGTTTATATCACGAGCCGAAGGCGAGTGATATAATTCCACTCGCCAAAAACCACTTTTTTGCACTCGTTACGAAATATGCTATTTCTCTCTCATGAAAAAAAAAATTTGATTTGACGGGGATTTGAACTCGCGACGCAAGTAAAATCGGCGTGTGGTGAGAGTAGAGATGCAAATGCATCACATGACCCGTCATATGACGGTCACATGACGAGGCGTCATGAACGGCTGTCACAATTCTCCCTCCCCCTTCTGTGACCGTCACAACTTGTCAAGAAAAAATGACAGTCATTTTTCATCTATATAGATGAAACTTTATTTTTTTCTCGGTCAATTTTCAGTTGAATTCCTTTTGCATTGGCCTAATCCGCATTTTGAAATGGAAATCACGTTTTTTCTCCATCCATATAGATGAAACTATTTTGTTTTATTCATAACCGTCACAAATTGGGAATTAGTTATGACCGTCATTATGCAACTATATAGATGGTTTGACAACAATTTGGTTACAAATGATTTGTGACAATCATTTGTAGTTGAAAAATTTGTATCACATGACCGTCACAAGACCGTCATTTTTTGGTCATATGACGCGATCTAAAAAATGACTGTCATTTTGGATCTCTAGGTGGGTGATCTAATCCGCGTGAGGGGAAGGGACGCAACAGCGCCGCGCGCGGCTTCTATTGGAACTTGTCCCCTGTTTCGGTGTCGGCGACATCAAAGCTTCAGCATACCTTCTTGTATCATACCTTAATATGGACGATTTTAGGCTTCCCATATTCACGCTAAGGACCGGCGCTCAATCAAAAAGAACAGGGAATTGAGAACACACATTAGGAACAGGGAATATAGCGTGGGGAACAGGGAACAATCCAACGCACAGTCAAAAAGTATAAACACAGATGACATGCGCAATAAAATTCATTCTGTTCGCCACTCGCAAATAAACATTCAAATATTGCATCACTGCTAAATAAACAATCAAATTGTGAATTCTGTTCATGAATGTGGAGTAACGAATCAAATCATAAATCGAGATCTGGGATTTTTTTTATCCTATATATGCGGATATAGGATCGAATCAATTCAATCAATAACTCATCCCCCTCTTTACACTGTTGATTGACATCGACATCTTGCTTTTTATCCTCATCTGCCTGCATTTTATTTTGTACTTCACTAAATTTTCTCGGGTATGTATGATCCAATGCCATGAGGAAGAGGCAGGTAAACAATATTTTATATCTATATTCCAACACTTGTTCCTTGGTTATATTCCCTATTCCTCTATTGTGCGTTGAAACATTAATTACATAATGTTGAAATTTATTCTTTATTCCTTGTTCCTAATGTTTGTTCTCAATTCCCTGTTCTTTTTTATTGCGCGCCGGCCCTAACACGCCCAAATTGGGTTGCATACTGTCTGTGTGCAGCCCAATATCCGCCATTCATAGGTGGCGTTTTGATATTTAGCAGTTCCAATATCAACCCCCATGTACTTAGCCGAAAGGGTGCAATAATTAGGAAAACTATCTTATGTATTCGATTGTACATCGTTAGTACATGATTGTACTAGATTTTTTTTTGTTTGTACATTCACTCATTAATTATAAATAATTATTCAATTTTTGCCATGATGCTGGCTGGAATAAAATGAAAAATTGCTCAATTGGGTTAAATAAATGGTCAATTCGATAGGAAATTGTTTGTACATCATGAATTACATATTTTCTTCGTTTGTACATTCATTATTAATTGATTAAATAACAAATTAATAATTCTTCCCACGCGACAGCTGTTATGGTTTCTGTATTGTGTGCGGTTATATATACTTCATTTTGTTATTTTCTACCTCAATAAAAAACATAAAATTGAACACCATGACATCTGATAAGCCGGCAATTGTCTCAATTAAACATGTTTCAAAAATGATAATAAATATAATCATATTGAGGACATTGGAGATTTGGACCGAGGCTTTCGACAGCTCAAAGGAGGTTATGATGAGAATCATTGCATTACAGGTGAAGCTCCAAAAACGATGAAAAAGACCCCGGAAGACAAACAAAAGCAGAGAGAACACATGATTCTGAAGTGTTTGGGTGTATATTCGTGGATCGCTTTTCCAGTGATATATAAATTGAAGACAAATGAATTTACGAAGTGCATGGACAAAATTGTGGTGTGAATGAATTTTGCACATATGAGATAGTTTTTTTTCCATGTAAATAATTCAATTCATATGAGAACTTGTAGTCGAACAGACAATAAAAATCTGCTATTGACAGCGTGACTAACGAGTTCCCAGTCCACCCAATTCTTATTTGAGATTGATCGTTCATTAGCTCTAATGAAAGGAATATTCGTTTCTACCAGCTATCATCATACTTAATGAAAATACACCTGCGAATGGCACTGCAAGGGGGGGGGGGTCCATGACGAGGAGAAGGGGAATGAACCGCCGCCATGTTCATTTCGGAGCATAGTGAAGCAAGCGTACTCCATTGCATTTTTGGAGTAAATAACTATTCGATTTCCATCATTTATACAATATTCACGATCATTAAATCATTATATTTTTTAAGAAATTCGTAGTCTTTACGTGAGAATGAAACGAGTTTTGGAAAAGTTTGCTGTCGCAAGGAAAGAATCAAGTCACGTCTCATTCACTCGATATTCCACGTGTCGGTTAACATTCTTATATTTTCTTGGCAATTTCTTCGATAACTCTGTGGCAGGTAAGGATCCGGCTTTCCCTATGGTATTTTTCTATCTATATATCCAGATAAAACTGTTATGTTACAGTTGAAGGAAAGATGATGGCTGATCCTCAGAAGAATTTGAAGACTCAAATCCTGCACGTGAGTTTTTCAAGACATTAAATATTCCTTTCTCCAAACTAGAATGATCAATTGCACATGAGAAATCGATAATTAGCATAGTTATCCCCAAATTAATTTGAATGAACGTCGGGACTGAATTTTCCAGGAATATACGTCGAATGAAACTCTACCACTGGAGGGAATTCCGAGGACCATGAGCCATAATTGCTGTTTTTGGATCGATTTAGTGAAAATCAGAATGCTGATGATGAACTGCAAAAAAAAGAGACGAAAATCATTTCAAATTTTGAATGTGAGCTAATCAAGCATATTTTTCTAAAATAATCTGATCAGATTTCATTTTGAATATTTAAAACATTCACATTATAGGTCAAATTGATAATAAAGGGTTATAAACAGGATGCATCTACCTGTATAACGATAATGGAAGTAGATCCAGGAAACGTGAACTGTAAGTGGATTTATCTCGGTACGCATTCCTAATCGTTATCAATATTTCGGCAAAATGGGCACTTGAATGAACATGGGAATTTGATGGTGCATCTCATCAATTCATAATTCTATTCCTATTACTCCATAGTATTCAATATCATTGTTTATGGTCTCTCCTCAAATATTATACTCTTATAAATACTTATTGAAAGTCCCTTCATTTAATAATGTTATTGGATATTAATCCTCAAGAACTACAGTTTTTAAAATTTGCAATAAATGATCAAATACACAATGGGATTATAATGTTCAAATTTCAGATCGCATAACTTATATTCTAAGCAGAATCAATAACGATTTCCATTGACATGGGTCTCTAATTTGGTATTTCAATTATAGAAATGTCAAAGGTAATTTTAACCTCAAATTATTGGATGAAAAAAATTAAAAAAAAATCCAATTATATATAGAAAAATAGAATTAGAGCTGAAATTTCCACATTCATCGAATGAAAGCACTGACAGAATAAACATTGACGTTTTGAGAATTTCTGAGGCGTGGTGGAATAATAATTAAGGTTACCCCGTAGTTAGTTCAATGGCTTCGATGTATAGTAGTATATAGCGTTTTTCTTCGCGTATTTATTCTGTGAATAATAAGAGTATGTTTCTTGGGTTATTGACAGGTCGGTAAAAGAGTTTAATGCTTCACCCCCCTTACCAATGAGGGGTTCAATTGTTTTACCGATTTATCGGTAACCCAAGAAACACAATTTTACTATTCTCGGAATAAACACGCGAAGAAAAACGCCAATAAATTGTTCAATTATCAACATAAATCCTTATTGGATTGAGATATAGTAATATCTGCAGGATTTATTTGTTTGTAACTAGTGGGAGTATCATGGAATTTTTCAGGGGTATAACTTGAACCAAGGGACACCGAACTGGACAACGGAACAAGGGAATGAGTGTCCGATCATCAGGTGACATGTGGTCTGTGTTTTTTATTCACATCGTCATTGTTGTATTCGTCTTGTGGGATGTTATTACCTATACTGTTTCTGGTGAGATACTATTTTGAATGATGATGGCTTGTTTTTTTTCCCCAAGTGATTTTTTTTCTCAATGTGATTTTATCTTCAACTAGAGGTTATAATTTGCAGATACACAAAAATACATCATGCCAAAGGCGAGTTGTGTGGGTGTTGATGAGGCAGTTAAGGCAGTAGAAGCCTACATAGACAATTTTCGAACGAATGTCTTCCCAAAGAGTACTGCTAATATCTGGAAGGAGATGAGCAAAAACTGTTGTAGTCAGAAATGGAAACCCCTCAATTGGTATACGAATGTTACTGGTGATAGACGTAAAATTTTGAGTATGGCTCGACAGAATAAGGGTGTCCCCCCTCCTGAAGCAGCCCCAACTATTGATGAGACTGTCAATGATTCACGGAATGAAAAGTCGGACCATGAGGAAGCAGATTTAGAGGTAGATGAGAATGAAACAACACTCAAATTAAATTTAACGTCAGAAGTATGGAATCAAATTAAACCTATTAAGTTGGAGAAATCAAAGATCCAACATAACTTGAGGAAGGGTGTATGGACAAATGTAATCCATGACTTATTTTATGAAGAATATAGAATGCCTTGTGCATTTGGCTTCAGTTACGGATATGTTTATACATCATCTGACAGAAAACATTACGTGAAAATGCTTGGATATTGTCTCGACAAAACGTGTGGCAATCGATTCGTAGGAATTGCAGATAATGAGCCCTGCCCTATCGCTGGGGATTTGCTGTTGGTAATTAAGACAAGGGATACGTATCACACAGCACATGGGCCCATCAGTCGTCCATGCAATGGTGAAAAGAGGAAGTTGGTCGGTAGAAGGGCTCTAGCTGAAGGATGCTTCAATACTAGGAACAATATGGTGCGTGAAACCACAAGGCGAGGAGATCCAGTGGCACCAGGTGTCCCT